AAAGTAAAGTTTACCCCTACCCCCCACGTTTACAGTATGATTTAAAACATGAAGCACAGAATTCACTGTCGCCTTCCCCAATTAAGGAAACAAACTGTTAAATCCCCCTTGTTATCCAACCTTATCTAGAAGATGTATTATCATTGGAACAAGGTTTGCATCTATTACTGCCTGAACTTGCTGCTGATTTCCTGCAGTGATGTTAGATAGGAACCACACTGCTTCCTGCAAAAGAAAAGGACATGAGAAATTATTACTTCAGTCTTCTGTGTCATATTTTATTTCCACTCCAGCAAGATTGTATACATTCACATTTTTAGAGCCACAATTCATACACTAGTCAATCTTAAATACAATCAAGTACTGTATCAGTTTGTACATAGCTGAATTCCTAGTACATAGGCTAGACGTACAGGTAACAACGCGGACAGTCTCGCCTTAGCAGACTCCACCAGCCTCTTCAGTCTTTCACTGTTACCAAGTTACAACCAAATACTCCAAATCCACAGATTACAAGGAAAATTATTTGGAGACAAAAGAAGTCACAAGGCTACAAATGGGCACTCATCATTGATTCCGTTACTGAGAATGAATGCTACAGCAGTTTCCACCTGCTGGTCAGATGAGCTCCAAAATGCATCATGTTTTCCGGACATCAAAGTGGTAGAAGACAGTATGAATCATAGAACCATGGAATGCTTTGGGTGGGAAGGGCCCTTTAGAGCCCACCCAGCCCAGCCCCTGCAGTGCCAGGGACAGCTTTACCCAGCCCAGGGTGCTCACAGCCCCGTCCAGCCTGGCCTGGGATGTTCCCAGGGATGGGGCCTCCACCGCCTCTCTGGGCAACCTGTGCCAGCGCCTCACCACCCTCACTGTAAAACATTTCTTCCTTATATCCAGTCTGAATCTGTCCACCTTTAGTTTAAATCCATCGCTCCTTGTCCTGTCACAGCAGGCCTTGCTAAAAAGCTTGCCCCCCCCCTTCCTGCACCCCCTCCCACAACT